TGTTTTTACTGAGATACAAAATCTTCAGTGTTACTGTGACTCTCTCTATAAGCAAGCAAAAGAGATTCATAACTTTTGAAAGAAGTTATATGGGTACAAATCCTTTTACGTCTTTTCTTAAAACAAAATTCTCTGTCGACAGACTTAATATCATTGAAAACTGAGTTGGGCACTTGGGATGGTTCTCTCGTGAGAAAGTCTTCTAGCATACCATCAGAGAGGCGAAGGTCGATGAAACAGAAGGTCATGGGGTCCCTGCTCATGAACATTTTTCATATTTGATATTCCCTGTGAGCCCGTGAAGTTTCCTTGCTTGTGGAGTTCATTAACAGAACACAAGGATCTTTTATAGAAAATTTACTTTATGGTACTAATTAGAGGTTCAATTTATTTGTCTGTTTAGTGAATAGTGAAGGCGATTATGGTTTGAATAACGATTGTGTTCTAAATTTTGAACAACAAAAGAATTATACCCGTCTAGAAAGCTACGGTTTCGTACCTACACAAAATCATTTGTTTCATGGTATTAAAGATGCACGATCAACATTTACATTAGAACAGTCGAGCGTAACGTCCCAGCAGAAAGAAAGACGGTTTCATTTCACTAAAGAACAAGCTAACGAAATTCTTCGTTTAAAATTAGGTGCATTTGTCAAAGGTCATTTAACACGAAAGTTATTTCATACAGAAAATGTTAAAACATTAATAAAAACGTTGCATGATACGCGTCAATTTGCTGTCGATTTTCAAGAAGAATGTACACGAACAAAAACGCAACTAAATCAAGATGATATACATATGATTGATCAACTAATTAGACAGGTAGAAAACTAAGGATGATAAAGGTGCAGTACATTACTTCGTATGGGCATCATACGTAAATAGTTGTGTACAATGTCGCATACCATACTTCCTTAGCACCAATGACTCCTGTTATCATCTTACTTTAGGTGGAAGGTATATTAACTGAAATTCATGACATTTTTATTCGTTCTACGCCTATTCGACAAATCTATTTAATTGTAAGAAATGAACAAATTGTTCGTCTAAAGACATCGAGAGTAAATCAACAAATAAACCGTGATTTTGCGCACGAAACAACATCAAAACAAGATTACAAACCACGTTCAACATTTGTTATAAGAAGTACTATATCGAATAATCAACCCAAAAAAACGACGCCGGTGAATCATGATGAAAAAGCTGTTGTATTAACAACAAACGATGACGGCGATGGTCAAAAGTCGCCATCAGTACCGTCAAGAGATTATAAACGACCGAATAACATTCGTCGACATGTGACAACTGTACCAGATCGATTTGATAAATCGGTTTATACTCCAGCTCCGACAACACTATCGTCACGTTATACAGGACCGATTCGGCAACAATCGACAGTTCAAATGAAAAAGTAAGAAATTTATCTTGAAATAACACAGACATACGAAAATGTTTAAAATTCAATAGTTCCTTTATATCTTATCTCAAAATATGTATAATATTCTGGAGAGATTGGATTTCTGCATATTTTGTACAAGATTAAACTCATGACATCACATGTTATTTCGTCAGTAGATATTTATTTTTTTGTTACACATGCAATCTTTGATTGAGAAGTCAACCGTATGGTATTTTTTAGAGCTGTTCGAAAACCTCGTCGCACAAATACTCAATCAGATTTATTTCAAACGGCATCATCAAGTAAGAAATGTTTTTTTTGTGTGCAACATGAGTGCATAATATTAATCTTTCTAGATCAACGTTCCACATCAGCGACTACGGCGCGACCGTTAAATAATCCCAGTCGTCCAATGATCCGTCCAAAACTTGCATCGGAATCACCAATGTTCAAAAAAGATCATCCAAAATAAAATATTACCTCTTTTGTACATATTAGTAATGCTAGGCTTAGTTTGTAGGCATTGTTATTTCTTTTTACATTTTTTATTATTAATATTAAGAAAAAACGCAGAGCTTTTTTTACAAAGGATCCATATCAACATTTGGTAGCGAACAGATATTAGTATGATCCAACACAACTACAGTGTGGTTTTCTCTGATTATTAGGAATAAGTGGACATGCATTAAGGGGTGTCCGTCCGACATCAGCTATGTCAGTTAATGATTAAAATACAAACGCTTTTATATACTATACTTAGGATAAACTACGAGTATATGAACTGATAAGATTCAATTTTGATTAAGGTTTCTATATTTCGTTTTGTTTACTCGATTACATCCATCGTATCCGCTTGATCCCGACAGCCATCCTATTGTCCATGTTACTTAGAGCATACCAAGAGTATTGAGATTTTGAAGAAAGATTCAGCAACAAGTTAATTAACTATTTATTTCATAAAATGTTCAAAATCGTGGGCCTGGTGATTTACATACCATTGCATTCGTTCAACCCATTTATCAACAGTTTTTTTATAGCCATCTTTATTCAATGAGTTCATAATCTTGGTTAGGGCACGATGCAATGATTCTGAGTTGTTTTGATCGGTTAGATTTTGTCTGATCAGGTCGAACAACCAAAAATCGCACGGTATTAGATCTGGAGAATTAGATAGTTGTGTCATTATTGTGATACCTTCCGATTCGAGATACGTAGATACATCTGTATGAACATGTGGCTTGTTATCGTTGTGAAGTTTGATAGCATGTGTATCAGATGACGGTCTTTGCTTTTTGATTTTGTTGACTAGAGGTTGCAAACAATTATTGTTGTAATATTCATGATCAAAAGCTTGTCCTCAATCCACATGACGGATTAAAACGGGATCAGTTGTCTTAAAGAAGATACAAAACAAGGTTTTTTGGAGCAAAATGGCTGTACCGAGCTACAGTGGGTAGAGTCTTTCCGCTTGCTACTCAGGCAGCATTGGGCGACTTTCGGTTGATTTGTTTATGATAGAACCATGACTTGTCACCTGTACTACGTCAGATGATCGCCATGTTCCTTGTTCAAATTTTGCTAAATTTTCTTTACATATTCGAATTCGTTCAGCTCGTTGAGAATCAGTCAGTTGGTTGGGCCTCCAACGAGTAGTAACTTTTTTCAGCTTCATATGATCGTAAATACGTCGCTCGATAGTCCCTTGATTCAGACCAGTTTTCACTTGGATTTCATCAATTGTAATATGAGAATCATCATCAATAAGACAATGAACTTGTTCGATGTTTTCGAATGTTACTGGTCTGTCAGGTCGTGTTTCATCTTCAATCTGTTCTCGATCTTCACGAAACCATTTTGACCATCTTGCAACTGTACTGGAAGGTGGTGCCTGATCGCCAAAAACAGAATACCATGTGTAACTTTTGGTTCAATTCGAAGTGTAATACGCACTTGGGGTGTTAGTTTATCGTTATTTTTCATTTATAATAATGGATAAATAAATAAATGACGAATTTATTTTTATTTTCTAAACACCAAATTAACACCCCTAGTGCGCATTTTAATGTAGAAACGAAAAATTTCTTTATTCATCTAAAACAGGGGTGCATAGCTTTCATCGAAATTTTTCATATAATAATGTCCATTGAATTATGATGATACACTGAAGAAATATAGAACACTGTTAGTACTACAAGTGCATATGGACAAAAATTTTCCTCAAGCTTTCTTTAAAGTAATATAATGCTGCTCTCACTACGTTTTGTATGCCCTAAGCACTTATTCAGGGTATAATCATATGGAACAGATGCTAGAGAATGATACTGTTAAAACAGAATAAAAAGTAAGACAGTTTACTAAAGGTATGCAGTGCTATGGTCCACTCCGTATTTTGTAAGATATCATACAAATATTTTTGTTTTTTCGTGTAAATTAAAATAAACTATTAATAATTCGTTGTTTAACCACGATACATGATTTTCTGAGATCCCAGAATAGGTGAGGTGTGTGAATATTAAGTAATGCAGGAACTTGAATTTTCTTCTTGTGTTGAACTTACAGTGTACACTATATTAAGCAATATACAAATATTTTTTCAAGGTTGTAAGTCGCAGTAAAGGATGTGTGGCGATGTGAAAAAGTGGAACAGAGTCTGAATAACCAAATACAAAAAATTGACGGATTTTGACTCATAGGAGCTCGATTTTACTAACAAGATATTATTTTAAATAAAAATGAATATTATATTCGTCAACTACGTCAAAATTGAATCGAACGATATATTATTTAAGATTTTTTCTTAACCTTTTTCTCGTCCAAAACATAAGACTCTTGATGAATAAAACTACTCAAAATATCGTATAGAACAGTCACTGTTTCATAGTAAAAAAAGTGATTTTGACAAAAAAGCATAGTCAAAAGTGACAAAAAATCATCATTTTGGGTCATTTTATTCATCATAAAACCCTTAAGATATTAAAATCCAATGATTTTGAAAGCTACTTGAGATTTTACCAGATCGTCCATTAAGATATCAATTAGAAAATCTTTTTCTTTTATATACAACATACTTAGTAATAATTGACAACCACTACTATAGCAAAATGTGTCGTCATATGTGTTTTACCTGAACCGTACTGCTGTTGATACGTACATCTGATATTTTTTTATGTTGCAATCTCTATCTGAAAAACTGATTCTATCACAATTAAAGATTTGAGATGGTTTATCAAATAAATTATATTGGTAGAAATAGATTCTAAAAATGGAACATTATATGAAATACAGCAGAGCGTGAACACAAGAATTAGAAATTTACCTAATAAATTCAACCATTTTTCAATATTACTAGCTCGTACATCAACATGTGGTTTTTCGAATGGTTGAACTAACTTTAATTTTAAATTTGTATGAGGCTTAATGAAGTTATAAGACCATTTCCGAGCAGAATTTCTATTAACAAACATGTGTGATTTTGTCCAGTTCTTTAGCATAAACACCCACTAAAATGGAGAAAATCGGCGATATCTAATGATTCTCCGATCTCCTAAACGTGCAAATTCAGCTCAGTAACCAATTTTGCGCGGCAGACAGTTAAACAATTATAGATATTATATAATTTTCAGAAGAGTTTTGGTAAGCATTCTTCGTCGTAAAAGAAAGTAGTTGAGCGTCAAAGAATGCGAATTATGAGTAACAAGGAGAGAAAATAACGACTGATTCGTTCGTAGACACAAAGATTAGAGAAGAAGTGAAAGAACTGTCGGAAGCAATCATCAAATAAAGTCTAGAAGGTGGCTGCAAGTAAACGTCGTTATACCTTTTGAAAGCATCCATATTTATGTTTGCATCTTGTAGAGCAGAGATGTATGTTTAGAGAACGGTAAATGAGATAATTAGTTTGCTTTTCGTTACGGCAGATCAATGCAACAAAATATTTAGATAAGTTCAAAGTGAACACTTTGATTAGGCATTAGGTGATATTTGATGCATGTTCAATTGTGACATGTTGCTGCGCCAGAGCACTATTTGTCGATTTATTTTGACACGTCTGAGAAATGTTTGCATATGTTAACAATTTTTTATTTTAGTCTTTTCTAATTAATATAATATTCTATATAATTTCTATAAGTTTAAATTAGCCTTTTTGTTTATTGTTTTTGTATATTTATGCAAGAAAAAATCATCGTTGTCTCAGGCTGTGATATATTTCAATTATCACATTTTATCTACTCATCTTGTTTGAATTATAGAAGAATATTGATGATGATATGAAATGAATTACACATTCTGCTATCGTTTGAAAATATAACAGCAACATGTAGGTAGTTTTTACAAGACGAGATGAGAAGAGATAGAAAACAAATGTATGTATATAACGAAAGAGAATCAATACCATATATATATATATATATACGTAGAACTAATTGAACATCACACGGTTATATTAATACTTTAGACTAAAGAAAAAACAACATATATACTCTAATTTTGATTCCGTAAAAACAAAATCAAAACTTGATGTTTTATGGACTAAAGACTTATCTTCTCCATCTCAAAGAGAACTACTATGATACAAACAGATACTTAAAATATTAAAGAATGAAGAGAATTCAATTCAGTTAATCTGAAAAATGTTTTGTAAACATTGAAAACTATTTTAGAAGGATTTTGTCTTGAATCAATTGAGAGAGTCTAAAAACGTCTGATGTCCAATTAATTATTTAATTGTCGATTCTTATTGACGTCCTAACGGTGTTAATGATGAAAATAAAACTCTAAAGGCTGCATTAAAAATATTGTCTTATATAAAAGTGAATTTAGATGCGTGTAATAATAAAAAATATAAGAAAAGTTAGTATTCTAAAATTGTCGTACGATAATAACTTTAGGGTGTCGTGATGTCCTCTCTATTTTAAGTTAAAAATTAAGACCAACGACCGTTTCTTGATTGATCTATTGTTGATCATGAAGAAGTTTAGTAGATAGTAGTGAGGTGGAGATAGAGAGAGAACAAAAGTATAAAAAAAAACTTTTTTCACATGTTATTATGTAGACCTTTACGACTGGTGATATCACCAGTCGTAAAACGGATTTTTATAGGAATGAGAGGCCTCTCATTCCTATAAAAGTCCATGTTTCTCAACAAATTTGTCCGAAAGTTGTTAATCAAGAGCCTTGAGAAAAAAGAATCTTGTTATTGTCACTAGGCCCGACTGTTGCTCTTTTTTTGGCCGAACGATTATTTCAACAGTATATAAAGTACTGGTCGAGAATTCGATGAAAAATTTCGAGGAAATACATGAAAAGTACATGTCACTGCTTTATTTTGTGGAAATCATCGATTTTGTGAATGTTCAGAGTTCTACTAAAAGGTCAGGTACTAGTTTCAACCATCATTTCAACAAAATACAGGAATTCGTACAATAAAGTTTTACCGGCACGGATGACCACCATTCAGTAGCAGTGACCGATGTCATGCTATGCACACTAATACGTACTGGTAGTTATGCATTGACGTTTTGTCTGTAGGAATGCGCAAAGGCTAGTAAAAATTTCTGTAATCATATTTGGTCGTGAATATAGTAATTTCTTTTTCTCGTGAAAGTGAAGTTCTACCGTCTATTTCATAAGCAGTAGTACCTTATCTTCTTAAGTATCATATCTTACTATGAAATACTTTTGTTTTAGACTAGCTATGCATATGAGAAAATAAATTTTTGTTCCAGGAACACTTGTGGAAATAAAAAAATGAGAAATTTCAGTTTCAGGTGTCGAAATCATTTGTGAAAATGTTTTTACAAAGCTTTTGTAGACGGGATATTTGTGCATTTTTATCGAGATTATTTATTCTTGGGTCTCTTGAAGTTGTTGGGCTTGCGAATAGTGAGCTTCAACTTTGTATCTGTAAAGAGACATAATCCTGAATGAATAATGATCTCATAAGTGACCTTCGCGAGGGTGGTAAAATTGGGCGGTAAAGAGAATTGAACAACGAATCTTCATATTAATCTGGATGCTAAACGATAAAAGAAGAAAATATTGTTTGGAATATATTGACGAAATGATTTTTGATACTGATCACGAATATAATTTATTGCTGAACTTTTTACGTATCATCCTGACGAAATCCGGTATTGCAAGATCTATCTAAACCCGTTGAATAAACAGATTCTGATTGTAGAAAGGATCAAATTAGACATACGCAAAGGTTTTTAGATCGAATAAACAAGTGTTCATGTAGAAAAAATGCTCTATCGTTATGCAAAACTTTACAGCATGCTCTGAAAACTCATTCATCAATATTTTCCAAACAAGGTTTTCTCCTTTTATCGTTCCAGCTTAATATAAAGATCCGTTGTTCAATCTCATCGAATTTATTAACTATTTTATTACAAAATGTGAAAAAGGAATTTTGAATTTCATATAGAGATATGTAGTATTTCATATATATTTGAAACAACGTAGACCAAGAGTGTAAAAACTAAAAGCTACACATACACCCTGAAAATGATCAACGTTCTAACGTTTGTTGAACTAATCCGAATTTTTTTCAAATAAAGACATCGAGTTGCATCAAAGTAAATTTTCTGTTGCTGTCAGTTACGCTCTTGTTCCTCGTGCATAATATAGTTCCTTAAGAATCACTAAATGAGAAATACGACCTATTGCTGCAAAAGCATCCAGATTTTAGCAAATTCTCGCTATATTGAAAATGTAAAATATTCGGCTCACACTCATTCCGCTCAGAATTTTGAACTCTATCGAATGAGGTCATTTTCATTTTTTTCCGAAAATCTTGGAAGTTTGCTAGAAAACCCAGACGGTTTTCCAGTGATCCAACCTTTTAAGATTAGATTTGCATAACTCATGGTCTATAGTACTAAAAAAAACGCTCTCATAAAATTCTACTTAATCAAGCTCGACGGCGGATAAAAAGAAAATCGGATTCTGGGAGTTTTGGAGATCCAGATTTTTCGATCTATAGTGTGAGTATTTGAACCTTAAGACGCTCAGTAAATAGAGGGCATCGTCCAATATATGTGGCGGAAAAAATCCAACTGAATCTCTTATTGTCACCGAGAAATGAACTTTTTAATTTTACTCTCGCGTTTTCTCGAAACACTTTTTTTGTCCGTTTCATAATCCCCGAAGGAAAAGTTCAGGAAAGCTAAAAGTTTGAATTTATAGGTAACACAATACGAGCATACTTTGAAAAAAAACTGAGATGGTCATTGAGCATTGATAGTCGTGCTCTTGTGTAGTGACTCTTAACGAGTTTTTGGTTATTTCACTCAACATAATGTAAGAAAGTAAAAAAAAGAATCTCATTCAATCTCGTTTTACCGCAGGAGAATACTAATTATAGATAGAAGATAGAGCTTTCCAAAGGCTACACAAAGCCTCTCTAGACCGTTTCATATCTCAACCGTCAAAGGAATTAAAAAGAAAAAATTGTTTTTTTAGTGTCAGAAAGTTGAATATGATCATTAGTGATTGTGTAACTACTCTTTTTCATATTTTGTAATAAATTAATCAAAACATTTCTTTGTGAAGAATTGAATGGTAAACTTTTTTAAGAATAAAATAATAGTTAGTCTAGATGATGAAAGGAGAAAATGATATTTTTAAAATGCTAAGATTGCCATTATTTTAGACCACTTATTATACTTTATTGACATTGTCAAGATCATAGTTAATAGTTGACTATAGTCGATAGTTTTAACTTGTACAGGAATAACAACTTGTTTTTAAACTCAATTGAAGTATGTGCTCACTTGTAGATATATCTTCCAGTGTTTAGCCTCTAGGGACTCTCCTTTCACAAGGCTAATTGATTAGTATATCTATATTTATATATATATATATGTATATGTGTTCTGTATACGTATAAATGTGTACACAATACCTATAAACTGTACATTTTGACAAGTGCACTTCGTAGGATATGAAATATGAAAAAAGTGTATATATTGTAATAAAAAAAAAATCGATATATGATGACACTTGAAGTGAGTGAGTGAAAAAATGATGTCAGGATTACCAGTATACATATCAATGTATGTTCTTTCATTCAGAGTTCCAATCACCATGAAAACATGCGACCGTTATATACACTAATGAAAAAAAATATGTATATCTAAGCATTTTTTATTATAATGATTTTTGATCACTGACTGATTGAGACACATCCAGAAATAATGATAATGATATAGCATCATTTAAAATGGTATAGGCATCAATAAAATATCTAAAATAACTGAAAACAATTGATAGACTTACATTCAATATTTAGTTTCAAACAGAATAAAAAAAAAGATATAAACAAATAGATGAGTCCTATGAAATATGAGATGTTGTGTGTTTATATATTATTTTATGAGATTGTGATTATAAAAAAGAATGTGCCTGAAATTGAATTTTTCCATTCGTTGAACTATTCATTTTTTTTAATGAATAATTAACATTTTTATAATGTATATCATATTTTGACTAAAATATTTTAAACTAAAACTGTAAAAAGATACACGAAAATTTGATTTATATTTTCATTCTTGTTTTTGGAAAATCGGCTTGTAAATGCAAAAGTTCATATAGCCACAAAGAGCATTCCTATTTCGCTTTTTGGAGAGAAATTCGATTACGTAAACAAAATCAAACTTCTTTCAATAAGTTGATCAAGAAATAGATAGTTTCTTAGTATTTTTTTTTACTATATTTATTAAATGGCATGCGTACTGTATCATTCCACTATTTTCACATAGATCTTTGATAGTTACATGATAATCATGTCTGATTAAATTATCAACATGTTCAAGGATATTAATATTATATACATCGTTCAAGGATATATGTTCAACAATGAGCTCAATTTCACACACAAAAAGGTCAATCCAATTGAGATCAAATACTGTTCAACAATAGTTGTATAAAATCTTGTCATCAAAAATTCAATTGAAGACTGATTGAACATTATGTCTAAGTCCATACAATTCTGGGAAACGATATAAAAATTCATGCATTAATGTATTTAATTTATTTAATTGTTGATTATGCATCGTCTTACGAGGTTGAGGTTGCTGTACGTAATTATCTATAGAAAACTAATTATCTAACCGTTAGTAGTACAGATGGAAGAAAGTAAATAAATAGTGATAGAAAACTATTCACAATAGCAACTCGTTTTCCAAAATCGAGAAAACTAAAAAACTTATTTTCTGAAACATCGGATTACTGATGATCTTCTTTCGAAAAATAGATGATACAGCAACTTTTTTTTGTCCCTCATTGACGATCATTGTTCTTTTTTCCTGAAACCAGCTTAAATGGTGAATAATATGATACAAATTAACTAATATATGCCAAAAAGAAAAAGGATTTATATATTTTTCATAACTTAATAGAAAAACGATGAATTTTTTTCAATCATCGAGCATCGCTCAAGGCAACATATGCTTGATCTAAATATACGGTATTTCTTCTAGTTAAAACGCTAAAAATGTCAATCACACTTCTAAAATCTATTTAAAAGAAATTTCATGTAAAAAGAAAAACAACAACAACAAAAACAACACATAAAATTTGATTGTCATTCAAACATTTCTCTTTTGTTTTTTCGTATCAGTGCATTTAGTCTTCATATGCTTTATTTTTCTTTGAAAATATCTTATTCAAATGATTTGTATATCAATCTTTTGATATAATATAAAGAAAAATCTTGGATTTTTTTCTTTTTCCTTCAATATAATCTTTATTAATGTTTGAAGGGAAAGAGTAGTTGCTGTGTTCAAGTGACAATTCAAAAAAAAATAAAAAATAAAATAAAAAGTTTGACTCTCACTAAACACATAAAAATAAAAACTTATAATCATCATGTATTATCAATGAAGTCAGGCGTCAACTCAAAATGTAAATGAATAGAATGAGAGTTAACTTCATATTAGTTTAGCTGTCATTAAATACAATAGAAAATAGTAAAAAAACAATTAAAAAACTAATAACATTAACACTCTTAGAATCTCTCTTTATCCATAATGTCATGGTGAGGAGGAACTAAACTTGGACAATGTAAGACTCATTTTCTATCTTACCGATGTATGTTTAGTTCAATAATATAGACTGACTTATTTTAGTCGAAAACAATGCATTTCTTAAACAAAAAATAGTGCAAAACTAGAAATCAGTTAGTTATACCTTGAATATGGACTTTTTATACTAATAAACAAAAATTTCATACATCTCTAGTTTTTTTTAAGCAAATTATTTTAAAATTCGACTTTTTTTTTATTGGATTAGTATATCAATCCCATTCTTCCTCAGTTTAGTTCATTTATTTATTTTTATATTATTTAAGTTCTTGAATGTCTTCTACACAAACACGCATATTCATGTATAGTAACCTTCAACACAATAAATTAAAGATCAAATATATAATTCCATTATTATCAGAAAAAAAAGAAGAATTCAAAGACCTATATATGACTAAGTCTAACTTTGTTATTTATTTTTCGTCTCTTTTCTTTTTTGATAAAAACAAAAAAAGAGTTTTATGTACACAAAGTTGAGAATATAATCAATTTGTCTCAAATATCTGAAAAAGTAATAGATACATCTCAACATTAAATTTCATCCATGTTATAGTCAAGAAAAACATGACTTAGATAGCTGTACCTTCAATTACCATGAGGAAAACAAAAGGTTTAAACGTATGATTGATTATAATACTCAGTTGTAGACCTTTGTTCATTTTTCTGTTATACTTCTATCTATAAAAACAAAACATAAAGAACCGGAGAATATTGAACATATAGATGCATAATCCAACATTTTTTTTCTCTCTCTTCTCTTCGCTTCTTTCTCGTCATTTATTTTTTTTCGCTCTCTCTCTCTCTTTCTCTAATTTTCTTCTCTGTTTGCTCATTTCCGATAACTAAGTATATAAATATGAACATCATATATGTTCTCTTTCTATTCTGTTTATCGACATGTTTTTAACAGAGAGCGCGCGCGCTCAAGAGAGAGATGGTATATGTGTACATTAGATGTTTTATCACGCGTATGATTATAATCTGAAAACCTTCTAAACGGATAATTCAAAACGTTTCTCTGATCTTCTTCTTTTTTTTATTCATTCACTTTGAAAAATTTTAATTAAAAAATATCATTACATCCTGTGATGTTTAAATCAAGGTTATTATTAGTTGCTTACTTATCAATAAAAAACGATAACTGTTTCACCATTATTTGGCTGTATGGATCATTTTAATTATTATCAGTCGATTACTACGTTGAAATTATTCCATTTTATTAGTAAGTCATTTTTTCAATGCTATGTTACGAATTATACACTTTTCGAGTTTACCATCAAAAACCTAGAATTTTCTTTTCTATTTAACTTTAGCGACTAACATACCATACACATACACACACACACACACATGATTTCATGTAGACCTATATTTTGTTGTTTCCTGTCAAATGGTTTATATCTTGATCTACATGATAAAATAACAAAAAATGTCTACTATTTTTAATAATAAAAAATATTTTTTTTAACTGACGGCGTATCCTCGGAGATTTAGAAAATGAAAAACAACATTGAAGTCTTTTTTTCTTCATTCGAGTTATCAATTTACGTTTTCTACTAAAGTTTCTAAAAACATCTATGAAATTCGAAGACATCATAACCTATTTTGAGCTATATACTTGAATTGTTCTCTCTCACTCTCTTCTATACGAAATGTTTGTTATATTGACATTGAAAAATTAGGGCGTATATATCTCTCGTCATTCAAGTTTGTCTCACCACTCTTTCGAGAAAGACAATAGAAAAGATATCAGTCATCAACTCGTTTAATTATGATAGTAACGCAGTATAGTCATTGGGTTAATTATAGAATATTCTTTCGAAACAGGTGACAATAATGATATGTCCATAGTGACTAACTAATTTATCTCAATTAGTAAGCTTACTAACAACAATGAGATGAAGAACATATTTTTAACATTAAGAAAGACATTTACACCATAGATCAGATAGAATGAACGTTATAACGTTGTTAACATTCATATAGAGATAAATTAGATCTGCTTTTGCAAAAAAAAAGATAAATTTTTATCTTTGCATGTGTGTATATATCATGCATCATTCATTAAAAGATGACACATGAGTTTAGCGTGGCAATTTTTTACATGTGCGAAGCGGTTTTCTCTAATTTAAATGATGGGAAGTATGGCAGTATGGTTCTAGTCCTGATCTATTCGATCCTTTAGTAAACTATAATATAGTGTGACTTTTATTGATAGAAAAGAATTTTGTATAGTCTTCCTTGATTCCAATATAACTAAGTGTGAAATATATGGCTTGGTATATATATATATATATATATAAGGATAAAAGTAGCCGACCAGCTTCTACACGTTTTTTCTCTATATTTGTACCGCGAAACTGTCAAATGTTCTTTGCACTTATAGAAGTCTCATCATAGTCATTAATCCATTTTTAGAGCATAGACAAATGATAATGATGAATACATGATCAATAAAACACAAAGTAAATAGTCTCATTTCTCATGCATGATCTATCGACAGAAAGAATAAGCTCAATAACAAACGTTTGTATGTAGAAGGGTAGAAATGTACAAATAACAATCGTTGATCATAGAACACATATTTTGGCTAATAAATCACGTTGGATTAAAATCAGAAATTTAATTTAATGTTTGTATTTTTTCTTCTTCTTCCTAATCATGTTTGAAAAATGAATTTAAAAATTGATATCATCAAATATGCTTTTATTATGTTTCATTAACAACGATCAAAAGAGACAGCGTGTAAATAACGAGCGTCCCAGTACTATATAAATACAAGACCTTTTCTGTTCACTTTTGTTGAATTTTCATTTATCACAATCATTGATTAATTTTTTTTTCTTTTCTATAGCCTATTTAACTGTGATAATGTCCTACGATTCGAATAAATTTTCAAAAATACTCACCAAATCGCATAATCTCACATTTAACATCAGTGATACCGCTCAATTGACGTGTCATGTAACACAACTGGGCACTCATCATGTTACATGGCTAAAATACGATTCAACAAATTTACATCAGCCTCCACAACCATTAGCTGTTGGACAAACACTATTTACTGTTGATAAACGTTATTCTGTTTCATCATATGCTACATCAGATATCGATACCTATTGGACATTGGAAATATATAAAATACAACCAAGTGATGAAGGATTGTACGAATGTAAAATTAGTAACAGAAAAGTTAGTGTATCAAGCAAAGTAACAGTAACAGTCCAAGGTAAAGATTCAGTCGATTATCACACAGAAAGTGTATAAAACTTCTTACTCTTTTTTATTATAGTTCCAATGGAAATTCATCCATCGTCTCTAGATGCTGAACCGGGCACAAATGTCGCTCTCTATTGTAATGTTTATCTCAATGAACTTCAAAATACTTCATCTTCATCATCATTACTACCATCATTACCGTTAATAACATGGCGTTTTAATGAAAGTCGTATTGAACGTTTAAACCATGTTACAACAGCTTCAAAATGTGAAAATAATATGTCAGTAAGTCGTCTAATTATTCGTGAAGCTCAAATATTTCATAGTGGACTATGGACATGTAATTATAAAAGACAAAGACGAAGCGCCATATTACATGTTAAAAAAGGTATGTGTTTTGTTATCTTGTTACTACTGCTTTAACTGCTGTTTTTCTATTAGATATTACCTATTATAGCAACTTGTTCTGTTAATAACACTCATAACTATTGTCTCGTAATTACTATATATAGAAGTATATATCATAATACTACATACCCATATTAGAAGACTTTTTTAGAGAAAAAATGATTATATCGTATACATAGATGGCGAACTGTTGAAGGCTCAGTATGCTTGCTCTAAAATCGACTTCAAGAGGCTGAGCTCACCCTTGAAGAAGATTTACTCTGAATGAGATCATTGCCATCACTAATGATCGTACATGTGAAGAAACAAAATAAATAGAGTCAAATTAAAATCATATCTTCGATCACTTAAAAACGTTGAATCAGTCATTTCTCTTTGAAAAGTGTCTGAGATGAATTACGGACAGCTTTTCAGCAATTTTCAGTATTAATTCGAGCTCTATAGGGATTACAAACAAATTTTGTCCATGAGGTCAGATTTAATAGAAACAACTTAATTGTTCCGTGTCTTCATTTTGTATTACTTTTCGCTCTTACTCTTCTACGATTATTCAGTATTCATTTGTGAGCTATCGTTTTTTTACAATCAGATTCGTTCAAACTTGCAGGTTTGTTAATCTGGTATCGTGAACTTTTTTTTATTTATACCTGTAATGTACATCTTCATAACAGTGATAGAAATACGTGTGATCATTGTATGTCTATAAATCAGATTAACTCATTATATTATTAGGTTTTTTAATTATTCTTCCAAATAAGAACTCAATTAACCATGAACAAGATTGAAATTGAGAACACATTGTTGTGTAATATGAAGACATCGTTGCAATTTTGTTTTCATTCTTTCAAAAAAAAACTCACGTATGATTATATCATCATCATTATCCTCATTTGTTTCTATTGAACGGATTAAATTACACCCTTGTTTAATCTCTCTCTTTCACTCTTCATGTGTTTATTTTAGGTATTGAACGTACACATAATCGTCATCGAACAAGTGCATTATTATCATCATCCTCATCATCGAATTTAATTTCAAACTTTTATGTTATTCTACTCTATGGTCTAATGATTATTCTTTCATACAAGTAGTAACGCATACTATACAGTGATTCAATTTTATTTATGTAACCGTGCAGATGGCAAGGACTCGTGTTTATATAGATAAAAGAAAGATTATTCTCAATTTTGAACGTCTATACACGTACAGACCATAATGGCATCCATTAATATCAACTATGAACAGAACAAATAGAAAGAGAAGCATGTGCACATCATATGAAAACATTCAATTGTCATTTGATCAATGATGGAAAGATGCAAGATTACTTGAGATGTTTCAAAGAGGTTTTTAAAATCAAAAATCAATTAAGTATTATAGTCATAATTCACGATATACTTGTCATTGTTAGTTCGATTAATCAGGAAAAGAATTTGATAAATCATGTCTTCTCTAACCATATGACTAAAGAAAATTAGTTACAATCTTCTATGAACATGAGAAAATATAATAGAACAAGTGGTTTATTTATTTATTTATTTATTTTTAAAAGTGTCAATAGAACCTGTTTTCTTTTTCCTAAGTTTATTGATCCCCATAATGTAAATAGAGATAACACACGATTATAAAGTGAAAATACTTTTGCTATTGTAAGAAAAATTGATAACTGTTTTAAATAAAAAAATATATGACATTAAAAAACAAAAAATTGTTTTTTGTCGTTTATACTTGTTTGTTTTTCCTTGTGTTATTGCCAGAGTAAATACAATATTTATGAAAAAAAAGGAGGAAATAGACCACTATGACAAAGAGTTTTAAGTGTCGGAAATGGCTAATAACTATTCTGCGTGTTCAAGAAAGTAAACTACTCGAGACTGTGTTCAATTTTCTTTCAAATGAGCGTTAAGATTATAATAGCAGGTAACATCATGTTCATGCGCAAAATGAAATGATGTGAAACTAACTTGTTCATCCTGTGTATGGTTGATCAAAGAAAAAAGAAAGTTATTCTTTGATTTATTTCAAATCAAATAGGACGACTGGTATTAGATTGTGGCTATTATACTGAATATGGTCACCTTTTCTAAATAAATTACGCTTGAAATACATCATTATTATCATTATCACCAACTATTTCCGTCTAATTGTTGCATACATTGACATACTTTTCTTCTTCTTTTTTTTTATTGATTTTGATTTTGAGAGAGAGAGAGAGAGAGAGAGAGAGAGAGAGAGAGAGAGAGAGAGAGAGAAAAAAAAAAAAAAAAAAAAAATAAAAAATAAAAAAAAAAAAAAAAAAAACAAAAAAAAAAAAAAAAAAAAAAA